TTTTTCCTTTTGTTCCCCCCCCCTCCCCCCCCCCCCCCTTTACAACATGGACTTTATTCATTTGGACAAGAGGGAGGCATTGATGCTCATTTGTTAATGTTCAAGGGTCAAAGGAGTTATCAACTTGGCAAAGTAGGGAGCAGGGGAAGGTACCTGGCTCACCCATTCCTCTGAGTGTTTCTCACATCACAATAGACAAATATATATATAGAGAAAAACAACATGATTGGCATTCTATTCATTAAGTCACAAAAAGAAACAATTAAGCAAATTTCAGGAAAACCTAAGAAGTGGAAGAGGACAGAATCAGATTAAAATGTAATTAAACACTTCAGACATTTTAGGACAGAGGAAAACAGAATCATCAGGAGACCATGGCTGAGTCATTTCCCTCAGGGTTTCAGAACACTCTACTTCATTTATGTGCTTGCTGCTTAGGGTTAAAAGAGAAAGGCAGTGAAGGTTATGAAACTTTCAGTTGGAATCACCATGCTCGACAGTTCAGTTTTGGAGGACCATAGACACCTGCTTCAGTAAGTCAAGTTAGTATTCAGTAGATTCCAAGGCAGGGTTTTCTGGCCACATCAACGACAACATGTACATGTAATATATTCAAGCCATCTGTAAGGGCCAAAGGAGTCCATGTAAAATTCTATACAGACAATACCTACTTGTCCCAACTGAGATCCCATTAATGTGTTGCTTTTAAGGATTTAAGTGACAGGTCCATTGATGCATGAGCTAGTAGCTGGAAGAATTTGGTTGACTGGAGTTTTTTTTAAATCTCATCCTTCAAAGCCTAATCTAGTACTTTAGACAAACAGCTGACCATCTTGCAAGTCATAACTTGCCTCATCTTTCATTTACCTATTTTCTCTTAAGGAGTTTTAATGATAGTGTTACCTTAAGTTAAGGCCCAAATTTTACTTAGCTGAAATAGGTTCACAGACCTATAGTAAACAATAATGGATGAAGAGGAAGGCTTCAGAGGACCTATGTCAAGAGTAGATAGCCAGGGTCATTGATGGAAAGGCAAATGGACCATCCAACCCGGTTCTCTCCCATGGCCTCTTGCCTTATCCTAATATGAGCTTTCAGCTGCTTATTCCAGCCACTGTTGGCTGTAGACAGTGGAAGGGGAAAACATTTTTATTTTCATTGCCTTTGTTATTTGTTTGTTTTTAAAAGAGCTAAACACTGGCTATTTGGTGACTCTAGCGTGGTAAGAAGTATGTTGATCCTTCCCTGGGAAACGATTTTGATTCACAGGAACTCTGTTTACTACAACCGTTACCTTTTATTTATGTGTGTCAATTGCTGGGCAGCCAACTAGACTGTGGCATATGGATCCCCAAAGGCAAAGGAGAGAGTCTCTAAATGTCGGTTTGCCGCCTTAAAAAGAGTTCATATTTATGATTCCGCTTACCCCACCTTGGGAGTTTAAATGTTGCTATTTTCAAGCTGGGAAAACAATCTCCATTAACAGATTTTGGAAACGCACTATTTAGTTTTTTTTTTTTTTTTAGATACTTTTATGGTCCAACTCTCTCCTTTCTCTTTCTCTAAACAAAAACAAAAACACAAAACCACTCCGAAATGGTCTCTGGGGTTGAATGGGCATACAAAGGGCATTCATCGACCTTAGGATTTTTCCTGAGGGAGGCTCAATGCTAGAATTCAATGACTGCCTGGATTTTGTGACCTTTATTTCTCTGTTCTTCTCTACCTCTCTATTTTAAGGAAATATACAGGTAAAAAGTCTCTGCTTAGGTTTAGGCAAGGTAACAATGTTGGTGAAGAAGCCAAAGGGAACTGGACACTGCAGGGGAAGGTATAGGGAACAACTGAAAGGGAAAATAAATATTGCGGTAAATTCCCAAATTCCCAACACTGTTTATTTCTCTCAGTCAGAGAGTCCAGTTTAGGGTCAGTAGCATGAAGCGTTTAGAGGAAGTGAGAATCCTCATGGAATGAACTCTACAATGGACAAAGTGGGAGGAGTTCATGTCCTGTATGGTGGGATCATGACCTCCCAATCAGGTCAAACAAGGGACTATTTAAAAAGGGGACTACCTACCTCAGAATGTTCCCATTCCTGGAAGATTCTTTGGATTTCACTCTGATCCCTCATGCTATGATTTTGTTTAAACTCATTGGTACATTGGCTGGGTCTTTTCAAATAGATTCTTAGTTCTCTGGAGCAGAGATGAAACTTTCTGAGTTTTTAGACTCCTCCATACAACATTTAGTGTGATACCCAGGCAGCGTTGTATTAATAGTTTCAGAAATACTTTTTTTTTTTCCAAGTGAATCACTGAATGACTGGATAAAAACTAAATGCAATAACAACTTATTTATCTGTAACTCAGCTACTTGGTAAACTTACTGATCTGGAACATAACAGAAAAGGACCAGAAAGCAAGGGAAGAAAACACATGGGGGTCATTTGGCTGATCATTGTAGTTAATACTTATTTTATTGAAGACTTATTGTGGGCCAGTATTGTACTAAGCACTTCACAAGCTTTATTTCATATGATCCTCACAGCTTTATTTGGTATTATTTTTACTGTTTCAGTTTACAGATAAATAAATAACATGCCTAAGGTTCTCATTCAGCTGTGTGTGACTAAACATCATGCACATAACCACTGTGTTTTAGTCTTTATGAGGCAGGGTGCTGAAAGACTTCCTCTGGTGCTCACTTAGGCCATGTTTTCCTCCAGTCAAAGGAGAAAACTTTTAAAAATATTTCCTTTGCCCACAATTGAAACAATTCTGGATTTCCAGTCTCTAAGCTTAAAACAGAGCAAAGGCAGCAAATAAGAAAAGTCTCATTATAGGCTATTTTGTAAAATGCTAATTCATGGTTTGGCAGCAAGGAAGGGGCCAAAACAAGTTTTGTTTTTCCTATTTTTTCTTTTTCTTTTTTCTTTTTTTAAAGATTTTTGCCATAGTGTGAGTACACACACTGGAGAGAGACAGAGAGAAACACTGAGCGGGAAAGTGAGAAATCACCTCCCAGAGGGGATGTTCATTCCATAATCCTTTCTCCTCCAT